GATTTTAATCTGTCCCCTTTGATTGTAACAAACTGCAAGTGTGAATGTAAATGCCGTGCTAGGTTCTGTGAGTCCTCTGGCAAGTCATGGAGCCTGAAGACAGTCTTGGGGGCCCCCAGACACAAGTGCACATTCACTGAGTCAGTGGACAGTGACAGCACACATCCTGAACGCCAGGCTTTAGCCCAAACCCCACCCACACTGCTCAGCCCTGCTCAGCTCCACCCCGCCCGCCCCAGACCTCCCAGTTTTGTGGCCAGAGGCGGCCTGGGTCCTACAGAGGACATTTATCAAACACCATTCACCTCCCTCCATGGAAAAACAGGCAGCCCCTTTGATGTAACACTAGGTAACGTCCCAGGTACCAGGTAATGTCTCAGGTATCAGGTCACATGCCAGGAAACAGGTACCATCTTGGGTACCAGGTAACACTCCAGGTATCAGATAACATCCCCCAAACCAGGTACCATTCTGGGTACCAGGTAACATCCCAGGAACCAAGTAACATCCTGGGAATAAGACAATGTCCCAGGAATCAGAGAAGATCCCCGGAACCAGGTAGCATCCTGGGAATAAGGTACCGTCCCAGGAACCAGAGAGCATCCTGGGTACCAGGGAGCACCCAGGCCTTACCTGCCTATGACCTCGATGTTGGAGATGGCGTAGAAGTACTTGTAGAGGTTCTCGCGCTGCACGTAGGTGCCCCCCAGCGCCGGGCGCAGCAGCCGCATGCGCAGGTCGGTGAGGGTGAAGAACTCCTTGAGGCCCTTGGCGCTCTCCAGCCGCGTGTACAGGTTGTCCATGTTGCGCAGGTCGGGGCCCGCGAAGATGGCAAAGCGGTCCCGCACCTCGAAGCGCACGTGCTTCTCCTTCTTGGAGCCGGCCCAGCGGGAGTACTCCTCGGTGCACAGCACCCGGTGCGCGCCGGACGCCGACAGGTCGCGGGCCCGGCGCGCGGGCATGCCGAACGCCTCCATGCAGTCCTCCGCGAAGAACTGGTAGGGCTGCCACGTGCGCCCGTTGTCCAGCGACTTCTCCAGGACCATGACGGTCGGCCGGCCGTACTCGAAGGTCACCACCACGTCATCCGTTAGCTCCACGCT